CTTAGACGGCATTGCTTACGAAAATAATGAGGCGATATGTGAACTGTTTAGCAAGCACTTCGCCAGATTATACACCTTAGAGAACGATGAAGTCGTGGATTTCCCACGTAAAACAGACGAATGTTTAAGTGACATAATTTTCACCACACATGAGATCGATAAAGCTGTCGCAAATCTTAAGCTTAGTAACACTACTGGCCCAGACGGTATATCTTCCGTTCTGCTGAAAAAAGGTGGTAATGACATGAGTTTACTCTTACTCAAGTTATACTCAATTTCATTAAGCGATGGGACATACCCTAACTGCTGGAAGAAGTCTTATATTGTACCTATCCATAAATACGGGCCTATAGCTGATATCAACAACTACCGCCCCATCAACATCACGTCTGTAGTTTCACGTGTAATGGAAAAGATAGTTAAGACTCAAATCATTCAGTACTTGCTGTCAAATGACCTACTATCCCCATCCCAATACGGTTTCTTAAGTAGAAGGTCGTGCATTACTTGCCACTTAGATTATTTTGACTACATCACACAAAGCATTGATAATGGGCGTTCGGTAACAACATTGTTTCTTGACGTTAGCAAGGCCTTCGATAAAGTCCCACATATCAGACTCCTAACAAAACTCCAATCCTACGGAATAACCGGAAATCTTCACAAATGGATAAGTTCTTTTCTCACAGAAAGAGAGCAATTAGTCAAAATCAACCACCAGTTGTCTTCCTCAAAGCCGATAACCAGTGGTGTAATACAAGGTAGTGTTCTTGGCCCTATTCTATTCCTCTTATTTATAAATGACATAGTCTCTGTAATCAAGTATGGCAAGCCATACCTTTTTGCAGATGATCTCAAGATAGTATATGATTATGGGTACGGTGATATGAGCGTCGAAAGCAAGATCCAACAAGACTTAAATGATCTAGGCGATTGGAGCGAAAAGTGGCAACTGACTTTCAACCCAGACAAGTGCGGTATAACCCACCTTGGACGCTGGAAACCGATAATGTGCCTATACATGTACGGTAAGCTCCTGTCAAAACTGAACACAGTCACAGACCTCGGGATAACATACTCAGATTTATCCTTTTCCGATCACGCAAATAAGGTTGTATCTGACTGTAAACGACTTACTGGCTTTGTACTGCGTAACTTCTACACCCAAGAAGCAAGATTAGCTATATATAGGACATGTATCCGTCCCAAACTTGAATATTGTGCTCTCCTATTTAGTAACCTCAGGACTGTAGACAGAAAAAAAATCGAAAGTGTCCAGAGATTCCTCACGAAACGCATAATAGGGTTCGACCAACAAGTGGAATATGTTGACAGGTGTGTACGTCTGAAATTAGAGCCTCTGTGGTTAAGGAGAGTGAAGTGCAACCTATTTCTACTCTTCAAAGTCATTAGGAAACACTGCTACAGTAACTCATCCATAACTTGGGAAAATATTAAATCATATCAGCTGCGAAACCACGACTACCTTGTCAAGGTGGCTACCCACAGAAAATCCATTAGGGCAAACTTTTTCACCATAAAATATTGCACTCTTTGGAACCAACTACCACCTGAAATAAGATGTTGTGAAAACCCTGATGGGTTCAAACGGAGCCTAGAAAGACACTTTAACATGTCCACCCTAGCTCGTCTAAAAGACCACAACTGTTGGTAGAACGGAAATTGAAGGCCAGTCCAGTCTTCAGTATAGTCACATACGTATATCTCGACTCTAATACTCACGCAGCGAACGTTAACTAATTTACTGATTTCTATTCTCTATAATTTTCACTAAGTTGTGTTGGTGAAAGTAACACTGGAAATAATTGTAATAGCATCCACACCTTTTAACGTTTTACATATGTATATACTAATATAATAATACTTATTAATCATGCATGTTCAACTCTTAAATTAGATGGATATTAAAATACTTAAAATATTTATGCATCAAATGTTCTCTTGCTTTACCACGCTTGTTTCCCTTATAACACTCAATTATTGAACCTAGTGTAATATTTGATATACGAACTATATTATTGATTATACTCTTATCATATATGGTTTGATTTACTCTACGGCTCCCTGTAGACTAACCACCATTCTTCAGTATACACACACTGCAGTATTGTTAAAAAACGCCAAAATTTCGTTGGTTCTGTGTTAATATCTTTTTATAATATGTCTAGACACGTTACTTTGCAATGTCAGATGTTTACTATATATAAGACTGTCATGAAAATTTAGTACACTAAGTCCTGCCAACCGACCTTACCTTCAGTCCATACTACCTAAATTGAACCTTAACTATAGTATTCTGCTAAATCTTGCTCCACTATTCACAATACCTATTCGTTTTACTCTTTAAGGTTTTAACTTCTTATAAAGTAATCTGTTCATCAGGATGCATGCACACATATATAATATGTTCGTAAAGATGTACGTGGAGACCTATTGGAAGCACTCATTAAGAAAGCTAGGGAGATGGAATATGGGGTACGAACATGTCTGGTACCAAGCAATATATTTGCGGTAGCCATAATAATCATAGTCTCAGAGCCTAACATCAAAAAAGGAGGGAGGGTGGCGTTAGCTGATCAGTAGATATGGTGGTGGTCACTAAGGTGAATCGCCCCATTCTGCAGGAACAGCAATATACAAATTAAAGGCTCGAGATATTTCTGATTTTTATGAGGGCTTAGATCTTTATCTTGAAAAAGATAATAGTGAACGCCTTGACAGATAATGCTTCTACCTTTAAATATATACCATTCGCTCAGCCTATTGTTGAGATGCGACCACGTGGGATCTGCACAGATTTATGGGGCATCTTATGAATTAACTTGCTATCCATTGTCAGATCTTTAAATACCACTTCACAATATCTTGTCTCACTTATTTTCTAATAACGTCTTTACTTGATTCTCATTATATTCCATTAAACCTAACATTTTATAGCTCTTTATGAATTTGATTCGACTTATTCTATTCCTATTCTCTGGAGGGTACGGTTGTGCACCAAATAGAAAAAAAGACATGAAATAAAGACAACTGGCTTGAAAATAATTGTATTAAAGCCAAAAGTGAACGCATGATAGTATAAAATATATTGGTTTCATTATACATTGCAAATGAACGTTGTCGGCCTAAGGATTAATTACTTCCCCATTCTGTTTTCTATATAAATGTGTTTATTAATGATATATTTCACTCACTTAATCTATTACACTTTAATGTTACACCACAGCACTTTAATTTTTCTAAAACAGCTTCCAATTCCTTGTAAACGTTGTACTTACCTCAATATTGGTTGATTATCGTATGCCTACAACCACGGGATGAAAACGAAACGAAGTCGATTTTCCCGCTCAACCTGGAGGACAATTGTACAATTCAATAACTATACAGCCTAGTTCAGACAATGTGTATTTATATATATATCAAATATTTAACTGTTGAAACATTATTAACTTGTAGACAATTTAAGATTTGACATTATATCATCCTTGATCGTGCCTGTAAAAATGGCATGCATTTTCATGTAAATTTATGTTTATATGAAAATAAATTATTATTATTATTACATCTGTATAATTCTTACGTTCTTTTTCAGATAATATCTACTTTCGGGAATTTCATGGATTTGGATGATAAAGAAGAAGATGCTCGCACTGTTGTCGATTTTTTATTACATGTTAATTCATTAATAAATGTATTCCTCGTTATTCGTTTGTTTATTCTACTTGATAAGACCGAATATCAGCCCTTGCGTAATTTGTGAGGTGTAGAGTATATGAGGCTATCTTTGAAATACAAAGTTAAATACTATGATATTCGGAGAAGCCTATTGGTAAAACATTATGTTGTAGTGAAATAAAGTAAATATGTCTAAATTGTAGAGGAGGTATTGCGATTATAAAGTGTTTCGAGTTATCTATCATGTTAGCAGAATACATATACTGATTCGTGATTCATAGTCACAAAGTGAACATAAATCTACCTGGGATAGTTTGCTTGTGGTTTCTGCATGTCGCAATGTACCATGAGGAGAGACTATACCTATGCTGTTAGATGTGTAACTCAGTGCAACTACGGTTATCGTAATAATTAAAAACAGAATGCCTAGTGTTCTCGGCCACGGGACACGATACGTTGCTATCTACTCATATAATCACGTAAACAAAAGTTTTCCAGACGCCGCATTTACTCCTAACAGTTTACCCTCAACTCCTAACTTAGCACGTGTTACTTATGTTACCGAAACACAATCGCATTACAACAGAGGGAATACAGATTCACTGAAAAATTGTTTATTAAACAAAAATCAGATTAAAAAGTACAGATAATTTAGATGAATAGTCCTCTGTTACCGTCAGTAAGTTCCATCTGCGTACACGGCACATATATGTTTTTCCATTAGTCTGAAAAGGTTTAAGAAAAGCATAGTTAACTTGGGTATTACATGTGTGATCTGAACAAAAAAATTTCCTGAAAAGCATTTACAGGTAATCACTTTACAAACAACATATATAAGTAACCGAATAGTTTTCACTAAACTTAAGGGACTTCGCGATTTATCGTTGGTCTATATCTAGTACGTCCATCAAAGCATCATGAAATGATAAAATTATTTAACGACAAGTTATGCAGTAGTTTTCAAGGCTTGTACAAATATTTTAGCAAAAATGACAATGACTTTATGACAAATAATAGGTCTTGAAAGCAATAATAATAACATGAATGTTATTATATGGCACTCCTGAGAAGTCCTTACATATTGATATGGCATGAATTCGTTGAATTCAGCAAATAAATACACTGGTATATCATTTCTATCCTGAGCTGTAATAGTCTGTGTTGTCAGTTATCTATCCAACTTGATAAAACGTTCCTGGAAATTCAGAACTTAACCAAGCAGCAAAATGATATTTGAAATTACCTCAACTCGAATGACAAACTGGCCAATCACAAGCGAGCAAATCGCTTGTTAGTCTCATTCGAGGTCAATCAAAATTACGGCCGTCGACAGGCTGTCATAAGCCTAGCCTGAAATTGGACCTAAAACAAGGAGTTTTGACCTTTGGTGTAATTCAAGGTCGTCACACTTTCAAACACCAAGTTTACTGACGACTAAGTTTTTTGATTGACAGCACTCCGCATATATAATAACACTCCAAAGTGACAGAGGAATACGGTTCAATATAGTTAATTTGACTATAAGTACTGAATTTTGTACATTATATAGTGTGCTATCATATGCAAACCTTATGTCCTCATATTGATTGATGAGATATCGAACTATATTAGCTGGCAACAATAGTAGGGCAGAAAATGAAGATTATATTCCTCCTTTCTAGTTGTGGCCCTTGCTGAGACCTAGATTAAAACCAGGATATCAGTTGCGATGACATCTACAAATCGAAATGAAATGTTTTACAATTATTTTTAAGCTCTTGTACTGTCACAAAAAATATTTTTTCACTTGTCTGTTTCAACGTGTCACTTTATATGCAGCATCTCTCATATTTTTCATGTGAAAATGACAATAACCCAATAATAATTATCAGTTTTTTACTCTTCTTTTACATTCCGTTGTATTGCTTGGAAGCTTATATCATTTAAAGCTCTTTGACGAAGCAAGAAACTTGTTTTCAATATAGTAAAGCTTGTTGTAGTGGCAGTACTTGTTTTTCGCGGGAGCGTATTTTTCGTGATTTTTTCTTCTGTAAATAGAAGCTTGCGTGTATTTTTTTTGGAAACACCAGCATTTCTTTTAACCATACTAGCCAATATTGACGTTTGGTAGTCAGCACCCTGAAAATGAGTTTGCTACTTAAGTAATGATCATATGTGCAGAGCTCTGTGTAGATCAGTCACTAGAGATTCAGGAAATCTATTATTTCTACTAATTAAATGTGATGTACATATAGGTAGTCTTCCGGGAAAAACTAGGCGCTTCTCTTCAAAAATAAACATCGCAAGCATTTAGCAGGGTTTATAAAGTAGATTTTGTGAACTGTTTGACCTAGACAGTTTGACTAAAAGCTTCGACATTAGACTTACACCGCCCTAGTTGTAAAAATTGAATAGTGAATAACAACCAACATAACATCTCGAGATGTTATGATCATTTTCGATTGCCGGACTAAAGTCCTACAGTAATATCAAAAACTACGGCTTAATATACGGAGTAATCTAAGCTAAATTGCGAGTGTCATTTAGTGTTCGAGTTTCGAAATGCCGTTTCCGAGTTCAACTGTAATTTTGGGACACAAGTTAAATTGGTGTAAGCAGCTCAAATCTAATCCCAATTTATAGTATCAAGGCATAGCTCATTTAGTTTTACTCCATAGTGAAATTAAAAAAAAGCCAAATGCAAGTGTAATAAGTCTTCGTTGGTTTTGAAAAATAGGATGAAATTTTGCCGTGAGAAATTACAGTAATCTGGAATTTCCGAAATAAAATAGTTACACTATGGATTTTAGGTAAATATGGTTTTGGGTTCAACGTAATATATTTACTTCAAGGTGACAGTATTGGTTAACGTTTTCTTCTGATTTTCACTTTATCCAAGTTTGGCTTTTGTATGCAGTCGTCATTTGACCATATTGTCAATTAATCGTACTAATTAGCACTTAACTTCACAAAACAGTCCCACATATTTTAGTTGCGTAGAATCCGGCATAGTATGTAAAGTGCTACCTCATTAAAGTATTTTGTCTGTTTTAGCCGTATGCTCGACCGAATCAAGCTCGAGGCTAGGCAGTTGTCGTTAGTGCCATGGAAAGCCATTCGTTACGTTCTGTTATTTTTCTTCGTAGAGGTGATCACGCTCGTATATGGCGTGATAATCTTCTTCTTGCTGTATCACGTTTTCATTCCTACCGTAAAATTGGAGAGAAATTTGGACTTGGTGTTTGAGTACGTTCTCTTCTTAATTTGCGAATTTAATGTCTTAGTACAAAATGCAACGTTCAAATGGAGTATTCCAATGTTTGCAGCTTTCCTAGTGCTAATTTTTCGATTTCAGAAGGTGGAGTGTCCGTTAGTTCTTTTTTCTAAAAGAAATTATGTTTGTAGTTATTAACTCCTAAATACCCTTACATGCTCATATTGGAAATGTGGTTGCCAGATTCTTTTCAAAATCGAATTGCAGGTAAGTAATGTTTCCCTCGCACTTCAATTTCATTATATTAAATTGTGTATTATCCAAATAATCTGGCTGTAGATTAAAGGAAACCAGTCGCTTGTTTGAAGGTGAAATCGTACTACTAACGACTACGAAATGTACCTCCAGTAAAAGTTCTTGTAAAAATAAAAGCAACTGTTTGATTATAGGGGTTTGGAAAATGTTAACGGTAAATTAGCGATTTCAATGAGCCATAATTCAGATGCTAGCTATGGAATTTAGAGTGCAAACATAAATACAGAAGTACTATATATTTACGCTGACGTAAATTAAACCCTTAAAATAGGTATTCGTCTTCCTAAATCACACAAGTTGCTGAATAACTATTAGGAACCAGTCACTTTTACACCTATAGAACTTCTAGGGATTCTCTGTTCTTTATCTTACTGTTTCATCTATTTTTGCTACCAACCCGACCTCATTTTTAGATATCCTGAATAACAGGCTAAAATGCATATTTCTTGTAGCCTCACTACAATGCATGTTGGAGATTTAAAGTCTATACAATTTCTTGACTCACGAAGACCTTGTTAATCAAAAACCTAGCATTACCCACATGAGGATATACTTATTTAATTCAAGACACCCTTTTATCCTAAACCTCAGTTATCTGGGCACTTGACATTTACTAGTGTGAGATTAGAATTTGATATTTAATTTCCCCGTAGACTTGGTGGGCGAATAACACTAATAATTAAAACAGTATTGTCTATAAGTGTGTGGTTCTTTGAATACAATTTCAATAATCACTCGTTTAATGTGCAGAACTTACTAAGCTGTATTAGTTTATTAGTTATGTCAAGTATCCGGGAGCAAAGCACAACCCTAGCTATTTTGGATAAGCTAATTCCCATTCATATGAATTCTCCGTAAGTCTTCATTGACTGACTGATTGACTTCATTATAATATTTAATCTGTGGTAATGTGGTTTTAGTGCTGAATAGTGATATATTTTTTCAAGGAGATTCAATCGATGCTGTTCAGCCGGCTCACAACCGTATTAACGTGGTGTGCTATATGTAAAATATGATTTAGGGTTATTTATTTTTCAAGTGAAATCGTCTTTTAAAATGCAATATAGACAGCTTATTGGTAACTTCTTGATCTGTTTTAATTATCTTTAACGTTTATTCTTTATTTATTAGGTATGACTATCATGACTTTAGAACTCTATGGCAAGGACCATGTTCTTGTAGGAAGATTCAAAAAACCTGTAAGTTTAACTTTGTTATGCGAGAATATAATTCCATGTCAATTTGTTTATTGTGTCCCACAGTGAAACAGTATTATTAACTGCATGACGAGATTTTGAACACAATTTATTGTTGGTAATCCCATTGATTATAATTAAACAACTCCGAAAGTTGATTGATCCCTGGGTTCGAACCTCGGCGGGTGAGTACTGATGAAGAGCCCCAAACTGGGACGGAACAGCTGTCAAGTACTCCCGGGTTTTCGAGTGGTTCTCTAGCCGATGTCAGCTGATGATAAAACCCTGTAGCCAATCAAATCCCTGCAAACCAACACTTGATTTTTATAGTTCTCTTTCCTCCTCCCCGTTTTTCGTAGTAGAATTTTCCACGTGTCTGGAAAAAATGTTAGATCATTTCTGTTACACGAATTCTCAGTTGGTTTGATAAATAAGGCTTCAATGAGTAATCTCTCCCTTCACTTTGGTACATTATATTTTAATAATGTCATCTTGTCTTATCCTTTTGTATGTTTGTACGTAATACTTTAGCCTAGCTGTTTTCTGAATATTTTATCTTGTGAGGCTCAACTAATCTCTATTTTGCCGGGTTTTGGTGGCCCAGTAATCTAGTTAACCTTGTCCTACTACTTTGGCCTATGTATTTGACATCACAGTCGTTACAAAGTATTAGATAAACTTTTATCATTATTTTGTTTATTGGGCTCCACAGGATCCTTTAACTGACGTAATTTGTTTCTAAGTGAGTCTGTGGTTTCCAATAACACTTGCCTTGCTGTGTTAAGAATTCTACGTAAGGTCTCAGGGGTTCTCTCTTTGTAAGGAAGCACTACTGCTGTTTTCAGTTCTCTATTGTTGGTGGTGTCACCTTGCTTTGTATGTTTGTCATGCATATCTTCCCCGTTACTGTTATTAATTTTATTCTCGAAACTTCTTGAGTGCCTCCTGGCTAATTTATCGGAGTAGTTAAATTTCAAAGCTTCTATTAAATGTCTCACTTCCTGCCTTAAATTATTGCTAGTACTATTTAGTTTTCCTGCCTTATTACTAAAAACAAGCATCAATAGCCAAGACTCTGGCATCCCGAGCCATTGATGTATGTTGTGTTTCAGGAACACGCATACAAGACCCAAGTGTGGTTATTCACCTAACCCCACCTGGCCAACAGGATGAATCTGCGAAATTCACCTTGAGGGTGTCAGATGCCACAGCTAGCTCACGAGGATTAGCTGGTGTGGGGATAGCTTTGAGTACTATGGCGGAAAAGACATTGCTTGACTGGATCCCGGTAGATAGCCGAATGTGTGCTGTCCGTCTGAACGTATCAGTAAAAAGGAGAAAGGACTGCACTACTCGCCGATGCCTTTTCGTAATCTCCGCCTACGCCCCCACTGACTGCAGTTCGGATGGAACGAAGGATGAGTTCTACCAAAAGATGTATAGTTTGCTGCCAAAGGCTAAACGCTCAGATATAGTCGTTCTAGCCAGTGACTTTAATGCTCAAGTAGGGAAATTGTGTCAATCTGAGAAGGATGTCGGTGGCACCTATAGAGTTGCGTGCCGGCGAACGGACAACGGTGACCGTCTCCTACAGTTCTGTTCAGATAATCATTTGTTTCTTCTAAGCACTAACTTCAAACACAAGGAGAGACACTGTTTGACTTGGAGACCCCCTTCATCAAACCAACGCTGGAGGCAAATAGACCACATAGCAATAAGCTATCGTTGGCGTGGGTCGGTAGGAGATTGTCGCTCCTTCTGGAACACGTGTGTAGATACCGATCACGCACTGGTCCGGGCTCGTGTGTGCTTACGACTGAACGGACGTAGGAAACAGCTCGCGGTAAAACCATCACGTCCCCAGCTCGATCAGGAAACTAAATCCCTATTTGAGGAAGAACTAGCTAAACACATATCTAAGTTCGACAGCTGTGCTCACCCTGAAGAAGCCTGGAAGAATATTCAGTCAGCCATAGATACAGCTGTAAAAGCTGTGAATAAGGCAAATCCAAAGGTGAGTAAAAACCACTGGATTTCGACTGCCTCATCCGAACTGATAGATGCTAGAAGACTTATTCCGGCGAGCTCCGAATTCAATGAGGAGCGAAAGCTGCACAAAAGGAAACTTACTAAAAGTCTCCGCAAGGACCGTGAACAGTGGTGGCTGACAAAGGCAAGAGATGGAAAAAGCATCGGCGATAGGCAACACTAGGCAACTCTTTAGACTCATCAGGGAAACGGGTGGGAGAAGGCAAATTATAAGTGAGACTATTTCTGAGAAAAATGGCTCCTTAATTAGCTCTCAGGATAGACGCCTTGAACGCTGGAAAGAACACTTTGAGGAACAATTTAACTTGCCTACAGCCACACTGAACCTCCCCGCCATCCAGCACACACCCGAATGGGATATAGACACTGGTCCGCCGTCTGTAAGTGAGGTCACAAAAGCTATCAGTAATTTGAAACGAGGCAAAGCGGCAGGACCCGACGGAATTATTCCGGAGGTGTTTAAATATGGGGGTGACATACTAGTTTGTAGATTAACTGAGGTACTAGGCAAAGTCTGGGAATCAGAGACAGTTCCATCAGACTGGGGTAAGTCACTTATTATACCGATATTCAAGAAGGGAAACAAGTCCTCGTGTGATAATCATAGGGGGATCAGCCTAACGAACATAGTCTCTAAAATCCTAGGCTCAGTAATCATGCATAGACTAAGCAGAACTCGGGAGGAACAGACGAGGGAAAATCAAGCAGGCTTTAGACCAGGTAGAGGGTGCATAGATCATATCTTCACTCTTCGACAGATTCTAGAACATAGACACACTTTTCGGCGTCCAACAATTGTCATATTTCTTGACTTGAAGGCGGCCTTCGACTCCGTGGATCGAAAGGTACTATGGCAATGTCTGACTGTGAAGGGAGTGCCAAGAAAGTACATTGCACTAATCAAGGCACTCTATTCAAACTCACGTAGTCGTGTAAGGGCTTATGGGGAATTGTCATCTGAATTGATAACAACCAGTGGTGTCCGACAGGGATGTCCACTTTCCCCATTTCTGTTTAACTTCATCATAGATATGCTGATGGAAGTATCCTTAACTGAACGTAATGACTTAGGAATCGACTTGTTACCAGGGAATAGTCTTATGGACTTAGAATATGCAGATGACATAGTCCTGTTAGGGGAGGATGGTGACAAAATGCAGAGTCTTCTGAACACCTTGACCGGCAATCTTCGTATGTTTGGCATGCGATTCGCCCCTGTAAAATGTAAGATGATCGTTATAGGACTGGACAACGTCAACTCCTAGCTTAGTGATAGGGAGTGAAGTGATAGAAGATGTTGACCACTTCATCTATTTGGGAAGTTGTATCAGCACCAACGGACTGATTGGCGACGAAATGTCAGCACGGATCCAAAAAGCTCGAGCTGCTTTCGCTGACTTACACCATCTCTGGCGTAGGCGTGACATCCGGTTATCAACCAAGGGACGTGTGTACTGCTCATCAGTTCGCTCCGTCCTTCTCTATGGCTCTGAAACATGGCCAATACGAGTTGAAGACATGAAAAGGTTGACCGCTTTCGATCACAGATGTCTGCGATCTCCTTCTCACGTTAGGTGGTTTAATAAGGTAAGTGATGTTGAAGTTAGGCGTGAAGTGTTGGGCAAAGAGGGAAAATCAATCGACGAGGCTATAAAGTTACATAGATTGAGATGGCTAGGTCAGGTGCTGCGCATGCCTAACCATCGTCTCCCCCGACGGGCATTACTAGCTGATATAGGCGCAGGTTGGAAAAGAGTAAGTGGTGGCCAAACAAAAACATGGCATCAATCCATGAAATCCTTGACACTTAAGCTGAGTCAGGTAGGGAGATGCAGACTTCCGGGTTGGGGCCCTCGGGACTATAAGAATCAATGGCTGGAGACAATAGGTGACATGGCTCAAAATCGTTGTCAGTGGCCAGCGCAAATGTATTCAGTCTCTGTAATCTTTCATATTTCTTTCTACCATTACCTATTCTGTTTCACTCTTATACTTGTGAAACCCTACTAGTTCTCTCCACTCATCTCCTTGTCTACCTTTGTGTGCTATTTGGAATGTGGCAACTCGAACTGGTGCACTTCGGTGCCAAGTTCTATGTTGAATCCAGACAGACAGACAGACAGAAAAAACTTCACTAATCCCTTTTTTACTGACATGATTTGGGATGAACCGAAATGCAAATAGCGATTTAGATTTGGGTTTTCTGTAAACACTAGTGTTCAACTTCCTTTGCTGTTTTCCCTTTTATGATACAATCTAACATTGAAAGTTTCCTTTCATGACTTTTCATCTCATAAACGAATTAGATCACGTCTACCTTTGACTTGATGTGTTCGAGAAACCTGTTGATGTCTTGTGCCTTTAAGTACTGAGAATGCGTCTTCCACACACCTCCAACGTACTTTTGGGGTTGGAGCTAAACATTTCAAACGTTGAGTTTTCTCACATTCTTATAAAATTCTATCCATATTAAATTCATTAAGCAATAACTTAATTGTTTTCCTAAAGCGATTTTACTCTTATTAGTCCAACATACAAATTTATTTTATTTATTTATTTTATATTTGATTACAGCTTGATCCCACACTGTATTTTTGGTGCGAGTATGGAATTTTCAGCATGGATATCGGTAGCTCAAATTTTGCAGGCCGACCATAGATATCAGGTGGGCGTCGGCAGGGGATCGAACCCCGGACCGTGTGCATGGTCGGCGAGAGTCCTAACCACTGTGGCACTGACGTACAATTGCATCTCATATTAATACAGTTGTTTTGGTATTTATTATCAGCATATTTGAAATAGTATTTGGTTCACCTATTAAGTTGGTTTTGAAAACAAAAACATCTACGAGTACTGTTGACGTTGGTAACTAGTGGACTGTATAACGGATGCTGAACAATTTAAATAGCTAAAAAGAATTACTTAACATTGTCTTCATACTTCACTAACCTGAC